AGGAGCTTCATAGGCTGTCCAGTTTGGCTCAGGTTTTGTCCAAGTCTGCTTGTCCAATATTGGGATTTAAAGGTGGGAGGAGCAGCTATAACCTTTCCCCCTTTTGACAGAGGTTGCTGAAATTTACAGGCACATACATTTATTCAGAGTGCCTAACTGCACGCAAGTCCAGGGCTTTTGTGTTGGGCACCCTCAAAGTTTGATCCCCCCCCCAAAGGAAACATCTATAATTTTACAGATTTTGAGGTAAAACTGGGTGGAGTTTTCTTGCAAGGTTATGAATTTTTGAAGGAAAACAGCAGTGGCTTTCCTGTAAAGCAAGGACAGCTGTTGCAATTTTAAGGTGGTTAAAAAAGAAATTGCTTCATCAGATTAATTAATATTGACTTTGCTTACCATAACCTGAGAAGTAGCACATCATAAACAATATGCTGACTCTTACTTCTAAATTATCAATTATAGTCATATTTCCATAGAACATAATTGGATGAATACCACCAGAACTCTAAGGGTTGCTTATTTTTGGCAGTTTAACCTTAGCCTTGAAGTAGCAGCAGCAAGGTTAACTTCCAACAGTGAGGAATTTTGGGAAAAGGAAGCATTGGTCTGAAGGGAATTTAAATAGATAAGAAAGATTTTTGATTTTTGATAAGCCACTGATTTTCACATCTGTCTGATTTGTCTTGGACATATCAAGGACAAAGGCTGGAACAAAATATTCACTTCAAACAGTGTTCAAATAGCACTCAAATTCAGTGTGTTCTGGCAATTCCAAACTTTCTCCCAGGGTTCTGTCATTTGAAAACTTCTCTTAACATTGAAACTTCTTCTTCCCTTTTGAAGCATGTTAGCTTTATTTAAATTTGCTAAGTGATGCCTTCAATTATCCTAGAAGGATGTTATAATGGTTTGGATGAGGCTTGAAATTTCTACATTTACATACAGAGCTGAAGTAGTAGATTTGCAGAGGTGATATAGTGAAGGATTGGACTATGAAAGCAAGCCAGGCAAAGTCTGGAGAACAAGTGGTGCAAGTCTCACTCTGAAGCCCAGTGTTAGAAACTGAGATATGAAAGCTAGGAGCTAAATGGCACCTAACGCCTAGGTTATGGGTGCAACAACAGAACGTCTAGGGCTAGGCACCCTTTTTTTAATATAATAAGAATACAAAGCTGAAAATGAATGAACTGCAGCTAAAATACTATGTTCATTTTTCACATAGTCTAGTCCTCCCCTGCCGAGGACTAGGGGCATGGTGCCCAGAGCGGGGGGCAGCCACGATGGAACCCCACCAGGATCATGCTGCCAGGGGTGGGGTGCTCCCCCCGCCCCCTCTTCCTCCGCCAGTGATTATACCTCTGTTCAGAGATCTGCACTGGTTGCTGATTTGCTCCTGGGCCAAGTTATTTCCTGTTACAGTAAATAAAGCCCTTAACAGCTTGGGACCAGTTTATTTGCTGGATCGTCTTACTTATAATAGTAGTAGTAGTAGTAGTAGTAGTAATAATAATAATAATAATAATAATAATAATAATAATAGCTTATACATATTTTGCATTAAAGACAAGCACATGCCTGAGCATACAGTCTGTGATCTGAAAACAAATACCTCAGAATTCAGTGAATGTATTTTCAAACTACTTCAACCACACTGGGGGGGTGTATACTCTGTTTACAGCTGTACAGTGGTACCTCAGGTTACATACGCTTCAGGTTACAGACTCCGCTAATCCAGAAATAGTACCTCGGGTTAAGAACTTTGCTTCAGGATGAGAACAGAAATCATGCTCCGGTGGCACGGCGGCAGCAGGAGGCCCCATGAGCTAAAAAGTGGTACTTCAGGTTAAGAACAGTTTCAGGTTAAGAACGGACCTCCGGAACGAATTAAGTACTTAACCCAAGGTACCACTGTACAGTGGTGCCTCGCAAGACGAAATTAATTCGTTCCGCGAATTTTTTCGTCTAGCGAATTTTTCGTCTTGCGAAGCACGGTTTCCCATAGGAATGCATTGAAAATCAATTAATGCGTTCCTATGGTCAAAAAAAGTCCAAACAAAGCCAAATTTGGTACAACAAGAGTTTATTAAGTGCTCTTTAAAGTCACACATACTGTAAAGAGCATTTCAAAATTCAAACCCAGAATTTTTTTAAAAAAACAGCAGAGGGGCCCAATGGTCACAAAAAATCATAAAAATGCAGGAAAAAAAACCACAAGCTTCCAGATTCTTGCAAACCCCTCCCCAACACCAATTCCTTGAATTCCAAACACCCCAACCCAAAATCCAAAAACCCCCAAAAAAGTTTTAAAAGTTTAACTTACCAAATGGCTGCAAAAGAAGTTTTGGAAAAGCTTCAAAAATCAGCAAAGTCTTCAAAAACCTCAAAAAAGGCTACCGCACCGCGTGCTATGAGTTGCTCCTCGAAGTCAAGTCGCAACTGCACTTCTTCAAGCAATGCACCCTGGTTATTAATGGTTTTAAGAAAAAGGAAACAAACTTGCAAGACGTTTTCGTCTTGCGAAGCAAGCCCATAGGGAAATTCGTCTTGCGAAGCAGCTCAAAAACGGAAAACCCTTTCGTCTAGCGAGTTTTTCGTCTTGCGAGGCATTCGTCTTGCGGGGCACCACTGTACCTGTAAAGCACACTTGAAGCATATCCCCCCCAAGGTATTCTGGGCATGGTAGTTTGTTAAGTGCTTCTGGGAATCATAGCTCTGTGAGGGGTAAACTACAGTGGCCAGGATTCTTTGAGGGAAAGAAGGTGCTTTAAACGGGCTTTAAAGGGGTAGTGTGTATGAGGCCTAAGAAGAGCCTTGCTGGAATAGACCAAAGGCCCAACCAGTATTAGTTCCATGCCACCCCACTCTCCCAAGCGTTGCAAGATACTAGGGGCTCCATGCACTTACCCAGGGTTTAGTTTCCTTGGAATGAGGGACAACGGAGATTGTGGTGTGTTTATGATTATGGCTTATTTACACATATATGCAATCTGAGCCTACAATGGAGGGGCTCACACCATCAACACCCCAGAAGGCCTTGCTTCTCCCATAGTCACAGCAGAATTCAAACATGGCTCTCACTCTCTGGCTTTTGCCTGCTTCTACTTCTAGGGGACGCGGGTGGCGCTGTGGGTAAAAGCCTCAGCGCCTAGGGCTTGCCGATCGAAAGGTCGGCGGTTCGAATCCCCGCGGCGGGGTGCGCTCCCGTTGCTCGGTCCCAGCGCCTGCCAACCTAGCAGTTCGAAAGCACCCCCGGGTGCAAGTAGATAAATAGGGACCGCTTACTGGCGGGAAGGTAAACGGCGTTTCCGTGTGCTGCGCTGGCTCGCCAGATACGGCTTTGTCACGCTGGCCACGTGACCCGGAAGTGTCTTCGGACAGCACTGGCCCCCGGCCTCTTAAGTGAGATGGGCGCACAATCCTAGAGTCTGTCAAGACTGGCCCGTACGGGCAGGGGTACCTTTACCTTTACTTCTAGCCCAGCTCACACACTAGTCTTTCTCACCACCAGCCAGGTGAGGGAGGAGGCCCACCCATTTGCCCCCTGGCACAGAGCCACTTCCTTTCTTATGCAAAGGACCGTGCTTAGGGGACATTGTGGCTGTTGCCTGAAGGGACTCAGGCATCATACAGTCAAACTGCCCCCCCTCAGTAGAACAAGATGCATGTTCTAGTAACCAGCTAGATGCCAATGGGAACCTCAGAAGTAGGGCTGCTTCCAGATGATGTGTTTATTGAAGATTCACCCTAATTTGTTGGCACAAAATTTGTAAGTTAAACAGTGCCAGCTATTTATCAAGCATTTATTCTGATTTGTTCGCTGGAAAGTTAGATGTTGTGTCAAGCAAATGTCACCCTGCAGTTCTCAGTACATTTTCTGACCACTTTCCTTATTGCATAATGTCTGATTTTGTGGGGGGAAGTGTTTTCGTTGTGCAAGAGAACTGCACAACCGGAATTTTTGGGGACGTGACTACTGAATCTCATCTGAAAATAGTGACAGACTAGAAGTGCCGTGAGCCATGGGTGCAATGAAATTCTCCAGGGTTTCTCAACATAGGGGTTCCTTCTGAGGTGTGCCTATCTTGAAACTTACCTGTTGCTAGTACCAGAGCAAAGCTTATTTAGGAAGTTCTTCTGTAGTTATCCTAGTTGCCTAGGGAGTTAATTTCTGTTTTATTGTGAGTTAACTTTATTTCCATAATAGCCATGGGAACACACAAAGTTTCAAACAAAACCCATGCACAAAACAATATGAAAATTCATTATCCATAAAAATCATAAACATTCTCATCAATAGTTCTTGTTGGTATCTCATAGCCATTAGAGGAAGTATAGCCACACTACGGGAAATATCTTTACTCATTTTAATTATATTTTTTTATTTCTGCTGTCTGGCAGAGAAAAACAATTTTATGCAGGGGTCCCGCTGTTCAATGACTGCTACAGAGTCTTTAAATTTTACATGTACTGACTATGTTTTAATTTAATGATGCAATTTTGGCGGCGGGGGTGGGTAGTCTTACTATCTGTAGTGGCACCAAACTAGGTCTGCCCAACTCACCACGCACCCGGAAAGCGTGCCCGCATGACACACGTGTTCGATGAATTCACACGCATTTTGTGCTTCAACACCCTCCCTCCCCCTTTTCGGTATATATCGCAACCATTTCACCGGTAAGTCCGACGCCGGATTCCTACCGATACAATGCAAGTGGGCGAGCGAAGAAGCGCAAAAATCCTGCTCGTGTTTGACAGGGGCGGCGGGGAGAAACAGCGGGGGCGAAGAAGAGGCGGAGGCGCCGCTGCCCCGTCCCGTCCCGTCCCCCTCTCCGCGCGTGCAGAGAGGGCGTGCAGCCTTGGCTGGGACTCCGGTGTGCGTGCGCGTGTGAGAGGGCGGGCGCGGCGGCGGTCCGCCTGTCCCAGGGGGCGGTGCGGGGAAGCGAGGCGGCCAATCCGCCGGCCGGGCTGACGGGGAGGGACGCGAGGGGGGCCAGGCGAGCAGGCAGGCAAGCAGGCAGGCTCGCTCCCGGCAGCCAGAGGCGCTCGGCTCAGCAGCACCTGTGGCGGCCAGAGCCGAGTTAGTTGGGCAAGTCGCTGGCTGGCTGGCGAGGGGATGCCGCCGCCCGGGCAGGAGCGGCCGCTGCCGGTGCTGGGCGCGCGCTGCAGGACCCTGTACCCTTTCTCCGGGGAGAGGCACCGGCACGGGCTGCGCTTCGCGGCGGGGGAGCTGCTCACCGTCCTCCAGGCGGGGCCCGACGGCGGCTGGTGGGAAGGGGAGACCGCCGAAGGGCTCCGCGGCTGGTTCCCGGCCAGCTACGTCCAGCTGATCGAGGTGAGGGGCAGGGCAGGTGGGAGGGCGGTCGGTCCGCAGTTCAGCCAGGGGGTGTGTGGGGCTCGGGTGATGGCAACGGGGCTGCCCCGTAGGGCAGTGGGCAGACTGTGGCATGTGGAGGGGAGAAGGCGCTGGCCCCGAATTCAGGTCTTGCCAAGTTTGCTCTGCGGTGCTGTTAGGCGCCCCTGCGACGGGTTTCTTCACCTTGTGGGGATCGGAAGAGTGTTGGTTGGGGAATTGTTGGGGTGGTTCCATGAGGTGCCGGCGTGGGGTTACTTGATTGTTGATGCTGCTATTATTATTATTATTATTATTATTATTATTATTATTATTATTATTGATCACGGGTTTGCGTGAGGTGTTTTGAGCTTGGCTGGCTGACTGCCTTGCAGCGAGGGAGGCGTGCATCCTGCCTGGTGGCCCTCGCTGTGGAACTTGGCCGAAGGGGTTCCCTTTGAAGTGGCATGTGGAGGTGGTGTGGGTTGCAGAGTGGTGCAGCCTCTTGTGCAGTGTGCAGAGCTGCTGCTGTTGTGGGATGTGTGTAGTGTTTGTGGGGTGCTGTGAAGATGCTCCCTATGGTATAGCTAACCGAATTGCCTGTTTTGTGGGTGTCTCTTGTTTACAAGCAGTATGGCCAGCAGTATGGTGGGATCCTCTTAACTGCTTCTCCACCGTGAAGAGGAGCTGCCTCTTTCTTCCACTGTGTGGTTTCCACCTCACAAGAGCCCTCCACATTCTTAAGCTTTGTTTTCCCAAGGTGTGTAGGTGGGCTGCTTTCCGCATGAAGTGTTTGTTCCATGTATGAACCATGGGTGAGAAACATGCTCTGCTGAAGACCCATTTCGGCGCATGATGAGATGAGTAACTTACTCATTCCCTCCCCCTCAACCCAGTGGGAAGGGCTGCAGCTCTGTGGTGGAACCCTTCATTGGTAAACAGAAGGTCTCAGGTTCAATCCATGGCATCTCTAGGTAGGGCTGGGCAATTCCACCACCTGAAAAACCTTGGTGAGCTGCTACCAGCTAAGAGCAGATCTCGACAACACTGATCTTGATGGATTAATGTCAAAAGCTGCCTGTGAAAATGGGCCGCTTCTTCACCATATTTCCAGCCAGATGTGGATTCTTTTTCTGACAGGATTGCTGCCTGCATAGCATGTTTCCCTGTGGTTGAGTATGATGAATGAATATATTTTTAAAAAATATAAAACCCCAAACAGATTCTTCTATACTAATCATAAATTTACTGTCTCCAGCCTTTTATTGGAAGATAGCAATGTTTACATAAGAGGAAACTTTGGTAGACCACACCACTGATGAGAGAAGAGAAGAGCCCTCTGTTTAAAGCTATGCTAAGCACATGTGACATATATGCCAATCAATGTCCTTGAACTTTTACTTTGGCGGGATTTATTTCTTAAATAATCAGCTCAGCTCAATGCAATTTGGTTCTAGGATGTGCTTTGCTGCCCAAGTGCAGCTGAATGGTGTTGATGTAATATGGTCCCATTGCACAGCTGAGCCAGGATCATCACTTACATGTTTATTAATTTGGTGTTGTCATTTATTGCTTAGGAAGGCTGTTGGCAAAGCTTTAAGCTTGGTATGGGGCAGTCTAGTGACACTCTGGATTCCAGTTAGGAGATGTGCCAGATGTTGTGTCTATACACCATCTTTAATGATGCTTTGTAAGCATCTATGGCACAAACAATCTGTCAGGATTGTGCTTTGACATATGGTTTTCAGAATCCTAAGTATTTCCAAGTAAACTTTCAGCACCACAAATTTCCCATCTGTGTTGTTCTTAAGGGATCTGTGGATGTATCACCAAAAAATGCCAAACTCTGCTGCCAAGAAATGCAAGATTTGCTAGGCCTCTATGATCGGACTAGACAAGCCAAATAAAATAAAATGATAGATGAATATATTTGATTTCTTCTGACTGCAAAATGCAGATTAATTGGTCATCATGCACTTAGTGGTATTTTCCTAGGGATAAAATATAATAGTGGTCAATGTGTGTGCTTTTTTAGGGAGGGCTCTGTAGATATTAGGAAGTCTGTCGCTTTGTTTTCCTGTCTGCTGTGTAAGCACACAAGGAGAAGGGCAAGTATAGTGGGGGTAATTTAGAACAGGGTGTAAATAACCACTTGTGTGGTCACCTGTGGTGAATTAGAATCAGGATCCCCTCCAGGAAACTTGACAGAGAATCTTTTTGAAACTGTTTAAAGGGTAGGTCCTTTATTCTCTTTGCCTGTCAGTATGCTACCAATAGGGACGCGGGTGGCGCTGTGGGTAAAACCTCAGTGCCTAGGACTTGCCGATCGCATGGTCGGCGGTTCGAATCCCCGCGGCGGGGTGCGCTCCCGTCGTTCGGTCCCAACGCCTGCCAACCTAGCAGTTCGAAAGCACCCCCGGGTGCAAGTAGATAAATAGGGACCGCTTACCAGCGGGAAGGTAAACGGCGTTCCGTGTGCTGCGCTGGCACGCCAGATGCAGCTTGTCACGCTGGCCACATGACCCGGAAGTGTCTGCGGACAGCGCTGGCTCCCGGCCTATAGAGTGAGATGAGCGCACAACCCTAGAGTCTGGCAAGACTGGCCCGTACGGGCAGGGGTACCTTTACCTTTACCTTTATGCTACCAATGACTTGAAAAAGGTATTTGTGAACAGGTGTTCCGGTAGAATATTGGAAGTCTGGCTCAGGTAAGTCAAAAGCTTCCAGCACAATAACGGTTGCATCCTGAACATTCCAGCTTGTATTGTCAGTACTGCGCAGTCCTCTTGCACTAGGTTTGCTAATAAGGACCTTGAATTGGTTAGCCAAGCTGTGGAGAAGAGCTCTGGTGTGTATTTTTTGTAATAAAGCCTGTCGTTTTGTAGAGCAAATACTCAAATGTGTGCTTTTCTGCCACCACAGTCCTTCCCCAAGTTTCTACCTTTTTGTGGAGAAATGTGCTGTTGGCATTACTGCCACCTGAAAAATGATTCAAAGGGTTTTCCTTGCTGCATGTAATCTAGTCTAGACGTAGTTGCTGTGTCTGCTCTTCAGAGTTGTGGGAGCCTGTGTTCTCATATTTGCCTCAATCCAGCTGATATGGGGGAAAGCAGCATGGATACTGTCCCATTGGCATTTGGAGATGTATCCTGCAAGTAACAAACTGCTGGTTGGGACATGCACAGTGATGAAGTGGAAAAGAGAAATTTCATCCATACACAGTTTGACTTTGCTTTCTCAACCCAAGTTCAGAAATTCCATTCTTTTTCTCTTTGCTTATTTTTGTGCTTGCATCCAGGAAGTGAAATAAATGTCTTCTGCACAATTACTATGAAGAAAAGATCATTGGTGTGTTTAACAAACCCTTGGAGTGGGGTGTTTGTTGTTTTGGAATGCAACCTTAGAACCTTTAGCTGTTGACAGTTTGCAGAAACATGTATATTTGAAATAGAGCTCTCTCTGGGCTCAGATTTAGGTAAATGCTGAAACAGTTGTAGCTTTATACAGTGTTTGATTTAAAACAAACAAACACACACACACACACACACACACACACCACCCCATATATTTAATCACCTTTAGGTCCAAGTTGTAAGGGATACTTAAGAAAGTACATAGGTTCTTTCGCATATGAAGGGCACTTTTCCGAATAATTTGGTGTACACTGACTGTTCACTCCCTTTCCTGTTTTTGAAGCTTAAAACCCTTTTGCTGTGGCAGTAATATGTATCTCCTTATTACTGCTCCAGGCTGGCGCTGTTTCTGAAGTGGTTCTTATGTGTTGTTTGTTTCCCCATCAGAGTGTAATTGCTCTCAATGACTTCATTCCTGTTAGGCCTGTTTGAGATGACAGGGTAATAATGACCATAACCCTATTCATGCTATAAGGCCTCCAAATTCATATATAATTTGATTTGCGTCAAAGAACTAGGGTATTGGACAGAAGGAGGAATGTATAGCAAGAAATATGGGGGTGGGGTGGGAATTTCCTCTGCCAAATATTGGGAACTGGACTTGGTTCAAGGGCAGATACAGTATCAGGAACCCAGACTCTTAGTTGATGAGGTGAACAGTAGCTGAATCAAAATTGTGAGGAGCAACTTGGCACCTGGCTTGCAGGAAGAATGTGATGCCTATGGCAGAAATATGATAATCCTAGATATCTGTTTATATAAATTTCTAGCCCTCATGAGAGCAGGGAGTATCTTGTAAAAATATCTGGAAACAGAAGAAGGGAGAAAGGCTGAATGTTCTTCCAACATTATGCAGATGAAAACTAGGTCTTTTGTGTAACACTCGTACTCTAACAAGTTGGGTTTTTTTGGTTGGCATCTGTCTGTCTTGGGAGACAATGGAAGAGTGTACCTCCGGAGGTGAAGTCAAACCATTGGAGAGTTACAGCTGACTACAGGCACCAGGCCTGTTGGCACACCAACTCAGTGTTACAAAGACGTCTGCAAACGTGACATGCAGCCTGGCAGCGTTAACACTTACAAGTATCGTTCTCTACGTGAAGTCTTTTCTCCCACTGTTGCACATAGACAAAGACTGTGTTCCACCTGCTCTGACAAAGCCTGTTCTGAGCTGAGTTGAAAGATTCACAAGTAAAACATGTTTGTCCTACAGCTGCTGTGTTCAGACACAAGGCCAAACCATTGTTCAATGCTATGAGAACATGTGGTGAGCGTCAGGTCTGCGTGCCCTTCATCCTTCATGTACAAGGGGAGAAAATCTGAAATGAAAGTACCTTTAGTGTTCAGTGCACATAACATGTAATTGCATGCCCCTAAACAGGGTCCTATGGGACGCGGGTGGTGCTGTGGGTTAAACCACAGAGCCTAGAACTTGCCGATCAGAAGGTTGGCGGTTCGAATCCCCGTGACGGGGTGAGCTCCTGTTGCTCGGTCCCTGCTCCTGCCAATTTAGCAGTTCGAAAGTACGTCATAGTTCAAGTAGATAAATAGGTACCTCTCTGGTGGGAAGGTAAACAGCGTTTCCGTGCG